AACATTTAGTTTTTGGAAACAAGAACAAATTGAGCAAGAGACTTTAATTATAATTTCAGTCTTTATGCTAATGCTATCATTCCCTGTGTATTTGTATAATATTGTGTTTTAAATAAAGTTTTTCTTTAAATCACGGGCTTCTGTCAACTACAATGTCCACACATGCGTGGTACAAATTGGGCGGGAATAAGTATGCACATGTGCAGAACAGACCGTACAGAAAGATGCTGCGGCTACAGCCAATCATTATAGACTGTACCACGAGGGGGCAGGGCTTGAGCAAGGGCGTGACGTGAGCGGTGCTACAGTCCGCAGCTGGACGTTATTGGTATTTTATTATGTAGTCTGCACATGTATTTGCACACTGTGTTCCTCCCTGTCATTAGGGGGTGCCTTCCCTCGTAATTGGATATGCACCATTGTTGCAGGACCCACGATCATCTAGCGGTGAGGGTTGCGAATTGCACCCCCCCTACCCAAGCGAGCAGTATAGCTACGGTGCCTGAGACAGGACAAAGATTTCATCTATGAAATAAAAGAGTTTGCCAGTCAAGAAATTAGGTTTCTTTAGATAGATGTGTTAAGAAAGTATATAAATTATGTAAAACCAAATGTTTTTTTGAATATTATTGTTACTTTTTCATTAATAAACAACAGCCACATGAAGAAATGAAGTGCTACATGATGTCTCACACTCCTGTGATACATTATTTTACATCTTGGGAGGGTTGGCTCATCTGGACTAACATACCAAAGTAAATGAAGAAATTCTCAAACACTATCACATCTAGTGCACCAAGTATGACCACTGAGAGAAAACAGGACAATGTAAGCCTCACTGTTTCTGCACCACAGTCCATTATAAACCACATAATACATGAAGTTTACAAAGGCATTGGCTGGGGAGAATCAAGTCTCCTCTCGCTTTGCTTAATTAGATAAGCAATCTGCAAATATTACCAAAATGTCTTTTGAATTTTTTGAAATACAACAGAAACATAAAGTAGTACTGACAGCTATAATTTCAGCTTGTGGTAAAACAGTGCAACGTTTTAATGGGCATTTAGCATGTGAAAGTAAAAACTACATATTTGTGTGCACAGTGGGAAGCAATATCCAATAACATTTTTTAATGCAAATTCGGAAAGTATTTATTATTGGTCACTTGATAGGCACACGGTCTTGTTTTATATTGTTTTCCACCAGGGCAGTACAATGTGAAGTTTAACTGCTGATCTGAGCTTCCCTGCTGTTACCGTTTCATTACCAATAATATTCATCAGCTGTTTGTCTCACGAAGGTAACAGCGCATTTCTGTCCACATAACAAAGCCATAACAGAGACTGGAGAAGAACTACATGAAGTTACAATCCAACTACATATTTTTTAAGTTTAGCTGGCTGATCTGAGCTTCGATGCTGGAAGCTGCCGTTTTATTGCCAATTAGCGATCAGCTGATTCTCAAGAATGTAACATACAAAGCCACAAACAGAGCGCTGGAGAGTGAGAGAGTCACTACATGAAATGAATCCAACTAACATAACACCACAAGCCAAAGCACAGCGCTGGAGAATAAACCAATCCAACTAACAATAAATGTTTTTCTACCAGTCAGTAAAAGTTTAGCTGGCTGATGCTTCCATGCTCAAAGTTAACCTTATGGTTTTGTTGCCAATTAACGTTACTGATCAGCTGATTGTCTCGCTAAGTAACCGGCAAAGCCAAACCACAGGCTGGAGAATAACTAGGTGACATGAAATTAATCCATATTTCACACCACTGACAGGGGAAACATGGCTCTCTGTGATTATGGCCAGCTAATAGCTAAAGCTCTCAAACAACAGTTTTCATTTGCATCGCTAAAGTCTGACAAACAAAGTTAATTATCTGTCAGCAGAAAACAGACAACTTCAGCACCGCTTTGAAAACATCTGTCCCACATTAACATTATAGCCTTCCATCTGGGAAAATCCACAAAATCCGTGATTTCTGCTGTCAGCTGTCTGTCCCGTCTGGCTGTCGGCTCTCGTGCTAAATAACATTTGTGCTCCTTCAGTTGTTCAAATGTCACTTCTCTTCTTACTTCTAATAAACCAGAAGACTACTCTGAGACTGTATATTACTATTATTATTAGTCCCTCTGCTTCTTCTTTGTACGTATTCAATGTAGTGACGGGCGTCTACACTACCGGAATTACACAAGCAGAAGAAGAACGCCATGATGAAGAAACGCGCTCTGTAGCGCTGTTTGTCCGTTGTCGGCTATGGTAGAAACATGACAAAATACAGAGACCTCCACAGCAGGGGGTGCCCGCGGTTATGTAGATATAAATGTCTCATTCTAAGGTAATAAAAACATAATAGTTCATTATGTAAGGTCTTTATACACCACTGAAAACATAGTTATGGATCTTGTATTGCATTTCTGTCAATAGAGCCTCAGAAATATTACACACTGGACCTTTAAATCTGTTCTCCACTCTGCTGTTATAAGCTGTCATTTCAGCGCAAAATTACTACAAATATCATATGTTAACTGTAAAACCTTTTTTTTTTAGTCTAGCTATTGTGGCTAGGTGGACAGAAATTGATTTTGGAAGGGAAGGTTTTTAAACTGAGATGATCAGATGTGTGATCTATGACCAAAAATGTGCTGACTGCTTTTTCTTATTGGCAATCTCATAGCATGACATTATATTAATATGTATATTTCCCTTTTCGTGTTTTGCCTTGGTTTTACAGCCTGTCAATCACACTATATGACATCATGTTCACCAATTTAGTTTATTTGTTTTGCTCTACCCATTTTGTAGTGACTGATGTACGTGTCTCTTCACACAGTTAACAACAGTTAACATTTTTTACATCAATTAAAGAAATCTGTTCTATCATACTTCTGTAAGTGAACTTACAACAACCTGTAGAGCTGTATGAAAACTTTGTTGCTGGTTTGTCAACCCATTCTCACTCCCAAGTCGTCACATATGGACACGTGTCAGTTTATAAATGCACTGGGAATCCCTTTAGCAACATGGTTCAACGCACTAAGGGAAGCCCATTAGTGTAATTTTTGACCACTAAAAGTAGGTATAGTGTATAAACAACAGAAAGGTCAGAGTAAGGAGGTGGTTGGGGGTGACAGGTGGGTCAGAGACTGGACTTTCACCCAGGACACAGGTGTGCTTGTAACAAAGTTGTTCTTGTCCTTGAACATTGTTCTTAGTTATGTTATGTAAGTTACATAAGTAATGTTAACAAACTTACTTGCAAATAGCATTCATGTTAATATGCAAATTGCAATTCCCGCAAGAATCTGTTAATTTTCTAAAAACTCTGATATATCCGACATGGCGTTTTATAACACAGTACCTGAAAATCAAACAAAATGAACGCTTGAAGGACCATGAGCCCTGATTGCAGAAATAAATCCATCAGGGAGGAGGGATACATCATGATTGGCACACACTGATCTCCTGTAGTGGGACGTGGCAGTCACGGCTGACAGGAGAGCAAGATGGGATTGAGCTGAGCAGGCCACCGCCTCAGCTCTCTGCAAACCCGGCACTGACACACACACTCAGGGAATGAGCCTGAGTAGGCCTAATTATATGCACAAGTGCTGTAGTTCACTGAGTAGAATTAACTTTCAGCAGTGACCTAGATTAAATGCTGCATGCTGTTTGTAAAGACAGAGTGCAAAAAAATCCTTTGGTGAACAGCAGCTTTAGCTATTTGAAAGCTCATGGCTGACATTTCTTCCTCAGGCACATTACTTAAAGTGAAATGAATGAATGAAAGATTCCAAAAACAATACAAAATCAAGGGAATCCCCTGTCCAAGTCACCATTGACAAATCAATGGGAATGTTGTAGTCATCCATCCTACAGTATTAGAGGCAACTCTACAATGCCAGTTTGATTGGAGAGCCACAGGCCAGTGGTGAACTAGAGCGTGAATAAAGTGCACAGTAGGGGAACGAGTGACAGTCACCACAAGCTGCATGCAATCTGTACTTACATTTATTAAATCATCCGTTCATTTGAATTATTTGCAGATGAACCTTTCAACCTGATATTCTCAATAACACAATCACCAGAGGACTCTGGTTGACTGGCCCCATATTAAAATACACTGGTGCCACTAAGGAATCCCCTCATCCACATCCATCATGGCTGCACCACTGTGTCACCACAGACTCATATTTGAAGCTACTTGGCAGTGTACGTCTGCTGTGCTGTTTGTGGAAAATTCCTCACCATCGTGTTTGCACTATGCCTGTGCTGCAAATAATGTTAGTCTACTAATGTTAGTGGACTGTTTGTGTGTGAAATAGTTGATGTTGCAGCCATTTTCAGCACGAAATACACTGCATTAAATAAATGTGATGCAAAGGGTCAAAATATTTGTTTGAATCTGTGATCGCAGAAGTCTTCTGTTGGAAAAATTAGTAAAAACCCTGAATGACATATGTATGTCCATGTACACTTACTTCACTCTGTTAATGTCCAAGAGACTTTCTTGATGGTCCAACGGTTACTATACCACTACTTTACTATGGGAATAGGTAATATCAGGTTGTTGGGTCATATAAATATATCAGAAAAGCAACATATAATACAGACAGCAGCAGTGCATTTTATACTACTGTAAATCCAGCCATTTATTTACATTATGAGTACAGAAGGCTACATTGTGCATGTAATAGAGGTATGATGTGATATGTCATAATCTTTCTAAACGCACTATATGCACATTTCATTTGCTGAATACATTGTATTGCCTTTAAATGTTGACCTACAGATTACAACAGTGTCATTCAAGTCATAATAAGCAGATTGTCATGGGAAGCCCATCTTCATTTTGACTAATATTAAGTAGGCTAATGGGTCTTTAGTGGTAGTTTCACACTGCCACATCACACTACATCCTCGCTACGCTGTAGCATTGTTTGATGGGGATACAGAGCGGCTCTGAATGGGAAGCATGCAACATCGACCCACCTCCACAAAATAAAAACAGGGCAGCAGGCTGACACTGTCTTTGGTCAGGATCCCCTTCTCTCTCGTAGACATGGTCAGGCCTCCAAATATCCAAACAGATCCAAGACGTGACGAGGGCAGAATGGCTGAGCTCTCCTGCAGGGATCAGGAGCGCTCCATGCCGCTGTGCGTGGCTTGACGCTCAGGAAACAGCCGGTTAGTACCCAGCCCAGACTCCCGATACCCGGACCTGCGCGGCTCTTTTTCTCTGCTAGTGACAAGCCCGGGGCTTGGTTCTGTGAATGTCTTCAGAAGAGCTGTCAGGTAGAGAATAGAGCCACTCCGACTGAGGGAGAGAGGAAGATAAGAGGGAGCGCAGGCGCACTAGGAAGGAGTGAGGGCTCAGTACTGACTGCGAGCAAAACATGTCAGCTTCGACGCCACAAAAAAAAATATAAAAAAATTAATCCTCTCTAAATTTAGTAAACCATATGTGGACCAGTCCCTTGAAGTAGAAAATAACCACATTCAGTCAAGTACTGTCTGTAATAGTAATATTCTATTCTCGGTTTCCATTTAATTCTCCCTCAGCTGTTTATTACTGTTGTTCGGCAGGTTGTCTCCTGTTGTCCCACACCCCCTTTTTTTTCTCCCAAGCCCCCCTCCATGTTCTCTTGCAGGTGTCTTCGCTTTCTGCAATTAGTGTTTTCCTCTGTTGTCTCCTGTTGTCTCCACCCATCATCCCAAAGGTGCTGTCCTTTCTCTTTGGTGTCTGTTTGTGCCCCCCATTTCCATGTCTGCCCCCCTGTCCAGCCGGGTGACAAATAAATACAAAATTAAATAAATAATAAAGGAGACAAAGGAGAATATTAAAACTCCCTTGTTAAAGCATAATCGGTCTGACACAACATGGTATCCAGCTCCTCATAGTGCACACCAGACTGCTGGGCAAGACAGGAAGTACTACTGTCCTTCAGTAATACTGTGAGTCGCAATTTCCATTTAATCTTACAGTCCATACATAACACAGATGCTCTCTTGGACTGAAAGAGGCCTCTGCCATCAGGAAAAACTGTTTCCATGAAAGGGTGTACCGCTGAACGGTGGAGGCATTGATTAGCCACTAAGAGGCACCTGTTGGCAAGCAACAATTGTTGAATCTTGAAGCCACTAAGATGACAACTGTTGCCCATTAGCTGTTATATGTTATTCCATGCCAAGTGCTCTGTCTCAACATGATTATTTCAGAATAGATATGGTAAATTTAAATACATTGTTTTTGGGGTTGTGGACACTGGCTCAGATCTGGAGTTCACGGGCGCTGTACAGTGGTACACTGCTCCCTTGAGGGATGGGTTAAATGCAGAGAATGAATTTCACTACATGTATGTGTATGTGACAATAAAGTGCCTTACTTATCTTACTATTTCAAGAATCCAAAGGAAAGATGAGCTATTTTGTGATATTGATGAGAGTTCCTAAAAAAAATGTTGTTGTCTTGATAAAATTGTCTTGACATATATTTAGAAATTAATAATTGGTTTAAATTTAATGTAATACCCAGGTGATTTAATTACATGATTTTTTTCTTTGAACGTGGAAGTCTAAAATGCAATCTGTAATAAACTTACACAAGAAACAGACAAATAGCATGGCTAGGAGACAAAGGCTTCTTGTAGGGAAAAGGTGCTGGGATTAAATACAATAACATAAACAACAGATGCAGGGCAACAACAAAGTACCATATTATGCTCATTTTCAGGTTCATAATCTTATTTAGTGGTTGTACCAGAACAGATTTACACCATATTTTATTATCATACTGCACATTGCTGCAGCTCCTTTTTTCACCCTGTCTTGAATGCATCGTTTTTGCTATGGAGAGATGCATCTTACCTCTACAAGATCTTTGTTGGGAGTTGCACATGTGCAGTACCTAGTTAAGGACTACTAGCCAATCAGAAGCATTTAAACATTCCCCTTACCAGCATGGCAACACGGACTGGAGCAAGAGTTCCAGAGTGGTGAGTTATTAATCTGTAACAAAAGTATCTTTCATCCATAAAGTTTTTGCTGTGTCGTCACAGGGATCAAAGGGAAACCGCTGGACTACAAACGAGCTGTTTTCAGGCAGTTCAGAGCAGAGTTTTCTGTGGGAGATGGGACTTTGCAAACCAATTACATGCACAAAAAAGATATATAACTCAATAAATGAGAGGGAAAAAGCCAAAAAGCATAATATGACCTTTTTAAAACCAGGCACAGAGACACCAAGAAACAAAAGGAAAAGACCCAACAACCCCCTCCTTCATCCCAAGCACCAGAGGCCACAGCACCTTCACCTTCCCAGGTACATCCCTGCAGCCCCACCACCTCCTATCCCAGAGCAGATAGAGATCAGAAAGATGCTCCATACACTGTGTAGCAGACTGCTGAAGTAGTAAGACTCAAAGTTCCCCTATCACAGTGTTGGAACATATTTCAGATCTCTCTCTGCTCTGAGATAGGAGGTGGTGTTTTTGTTTGATAAAGTTGTAGCTGTTGTTTGCCACAGTAATTATTTCTGGTGTTAACTCCTATTGTCTGAGAGCAGATACAATAGCAGTTGTCACAACCAGACTCAAGGGTCATGGCACCAATTTAATTTATTTGGCATGCTTTGTGTCCCTTCATTTCAATGATTTCCTTTATTTCATTTTAGCTTAGAAAAGTTAATAGTGATTTACTTAACCAAAGTTGTTGATCTCTGATCTATGCTACAGTTAAATAAATCCTATTATAATTTTAAGAAGTCGTTGTCTGTGATTATTTGTGAATAATATTGTAGTAAATGTAGTAATTGAAGTTGGTTACCACAGCCAGTGTCCAAATTCACCCTTCCCTGTTTGCCATCTATAGGTGGACAAACCCTTTTAGACATATTTGGTTAATTGTCTCTGATTCCAGGGTGGTGCCCTATAGTTGTTTTTTTCCCCCCCATTCTTTCTTTTATTGAGATTCACATATCAACAATTTTCACAATACAGGTGCTGGTCATATAATTAGAATATCATCAAAAAGTTGATTTATTTCAGTAATTTTATTCAAAAAGTGAAACTTGGTTATTATATTCATTCATTACACACAGACATACATATATTTCAAATGATTATTTCATTTAATTTTTTTGATTAAAACTGACAACTAATGAAAATCCCAAATTCAATATCTCAGAAAATTAAAATATTACTTAAGACCAATACAAAAAAAGTATTTTTAGAAATGTTGGCCAACTGAAAAGTATGAACATGAAAAGTATGAGCATGTACAGCACTCAATACTTAGTCCGGGCTCCTTTTGCCTGAATTACTGCAACAATACGGCGTGGCATGGAGTCGATCAGTCTGTGACACTGCTCAGGTGTTCTGAGAGCCCAGGTTGCTCTGATAGTGGCCTTCAGCTCTTCTGCATTGTTGGGTCTGGCGTATCGCATCTTCCTCTTCACAATACCCCATAGGTTTTCTATAGGGTTAAGGTCAGGCGAGTTTGCTGGCCAATTAAGAACAGGGATACCATGGTCCTTAAACCAGGTACTGGTAGCTTTGGCACTGTGTGCAGGTGCCAAGTCCTGTTGGAAAATGAAATCTGCATCTCCATAAAGTTGGTCAGCAGCAGGAAGCATGAAGTGCTCTAAAACTTCCTGGTAGACGGCTGCGTTGACCTTGGACCTCAGAAAACACAGTGGACCAACACCAGCAGATGACATGGCACCCCAAACCATCACTGACTGTGGAAACCTTACACTGGACTTCAAGCAATGTGGATTCTGTGCCTCTCCTCTCTTCCTCCAGACTCTGGGACCTTGATTTCCAAAGGAAATGCAAAATTTACTTTCATCAGAGAACATAACTTTGGACCACTCAGCAGCAGTCCAGTCCTTTTTGTCTTGAGACCATTTAAAGGCCTTTTGAGTTAATTAGCTGATTAGAGTGTGGCACCAGGTGTCTTCAATATTGAACCTTTTCACAATATTCTAATTTTCTGAGATACTGATTTTGGGGTTTTCATTAGTTGTCAGTTATAATCATCAAAATTAAAAGGAATGAACACTTGAAATATATCAGTCTGTGTGGAATGAATGTATAAAGTATCCAAGTTTCACTTTTTGAATGGAATTACTGAAATAAATCAACTTTTTGATGATATTCTAATTATATGACCAGCACCTGTATATTTGGGATTAAAACCATTACAGAGTGATCCATATTTTCAGTATTTTTTTACTTTACATTTACCGTAAAACTTATAATAGCCCGGGCTTTTATTTGCTGTAATCACTGAATTGACCCTGCGGTATCTTGCGGTTGATCTAGCTCTGACAGACGGCTTACGCACTTTTATTTTGAAGGCAGCAACCTATCAAAAATAACAACAAGGTGCAGGATGAGAGAAGTTAGCAGACAGAGAGCGATTACCTTCACGTGACAGGTTTACAACTTGGGTAAATTTTTATGAAAAGCTGTTTTGATTATTTTGATGGGTGGACCCTTACAGACTAAAGGAATATAAATAATCAAGGAATGGATACATTCTGACTTCACGAGCGGACTTAACAAGCGCTTCAAAGTTAACATGAGTCAGCACTTTTCCCCCCTTTTCTTCTCTTGTAGCCATGGAGGTTACACCGGTAAATCTAGAAGAATTACACTTTGGGTCTTGTTGTTTCCGTTAAATTAACTTAACAGTGGTATTGTGGAGAATCTAACCGATCTAAGGCTGTTCAGCATGTCCATATTGATCATACGTTTAAACATTAATATTTGTATTAACGATCTAAGCAGCTTAGAAAAGCGACTTACAATTGGTATTTGTGTAAGAGGTTGCACACGTCTGGAGACACTTAACCGCTAGTTGCTCTGGAGTAAAGTGACTTGCTCAGGGACACATAGGTGGATGTGTCACAATGGGATATTTTTATCCTTCAGCTCAGATTCCGCTTTTACGTACTCCTGCGCATAGTTGTTGTCCAGGTGCACTCTTTTTCCTTGGAAGTCAAAACCTTTATTCTGCCAAGCCCTTTTGAGCACATCTTCTTTCAGCTGGAGAACTTAACAATTAATCTTGGCGAGGCTTCAATAGTGGGTTTAGGCGCAAACACCCGGTGTGCTCTCTCGATATTTAATACTGTATATGACAGAAGTTCCAAGCCTTTCATGAGCAAATCTTCTACAAAGGCAATCACCGATGTCATGCTGTCTTCAGCTCCTTCTTTTATTCCATGTATTCTGACATTGTCACGTCGTGAGCGCTCCTCCGAGTCAGTCAGTTTAGCCTCCATTTGCATCTGAAGTTTCACCAGCATCGACAAGGCATTCTCCGAAGACTTAATATTGTACCTGGACCAAGTACTGGACCTAGGGGCAACACAGCCTTCTCCATAGAGTGCCCCCTCCATCTGGAACTCTCTCCCCAAACACTTCAATTACTGCACCAATCTGTCCATCTTCAAATCACTAATGAAACTTGTATTTTCAGAACTGCTTTTAACATGTGGTTAATGTTGTGTGTTATATGTTATATGTTCTACAGTGTAGAATATTATACACTGTAGAATATAGTGTTGTAGTCCAGACCGCCCAAA